ACTTTCCTTCTGAGAACTATCTATCAAGTGTTTTATAATACTTCATTTTTATTTTTTAAAAGATCACTTCATAAAACAAAAGAACGTGTACAGCTCATTTCCATGCTTTACTGTTTAAGCTCAGTAGAATGCAAAGAAAATACCAAACTGTAAATGAGACAATTCCAACTCGCCTTACACGTATATTATTTCTGGTTTCTAATAGAAGGATAGTAATTGTAATGGATAACCAATCATGCAATCACTGAATGAGAGTACGAGAATTTTAGTTAAAGCATTAACCTTTTTGTAACAGAGTTTTTGTACAGGATTGAACAAAGGATTTCAGCTAAAAAGAGAAAAGTCGGTTTTCGACTGATTCGTGTTGGGCATATTCTAAATTGCGTCAAGAAAGTGAAAATTCAGGTGCGAATTGGTTTCGTCAGGTACGAGACCTAGACTTCTTCCCTCTGTTAACAAAATTACCATTCTGTATATTATGAATATTGGATATCTGCGTTATTTTTTGCAAATATATTTTATCTGTTTTATACAGAAAAATGACCATTCCAAATCTAAAAAAAAAAAACAGCTTCAAATACCCGAATTATTTCTCTCAGTTGGCTATTTGAAATTTTTGTTTCTAAACTCATTTATAATTCTCCGTTTACGTTGAAATAGAGAAAGTGACATATTTTCAACGTCATACTGACATCATTGATCATATCATCAACATGTAAATCTCTAGCAGCGGCAATAAAAATGAAAATTTGAACGGAAATTGAATCGCTTAAGGAAGTCGCCCAACTTGGATTAGAATCATCGATCAGCTTAATGGGCAAATCGGTGATGAATTCGGCAAAACTGCTAAATCTTTGTCACGAATTATCTAGTAAGCAACATTAATTTTTTTCCGTCGTTCTCATGAGTCTTTAATTTCGGAAATCCTCTGTAGTCTACGTGTGACCATCGGAAATCCTCTGACTGATCAAGCGCTATAAAGGTCATTTTAATGGTAAGTTTCATTGCAGACTTAAATGAACGTCTACAAGCTGTCATGTGCTCGGTTAGATCTGGTCCGGCACTGCCTGAGGGTAGACGTCGTAAATAGGGCTTTCAAGGCTACATTGACAGACCGTTCTCAACCCTTGACTCTTGCTAAAAACTCTCGAGGATGGTGTTACATGTCTCAGACTTTTCTTTAACAAAAAAACAAGGTATGTCAAACTCTCTTCGAGGAACGTCTACCTTCTGGCAATGAGCGTCAGCTGACAAAGGTCTTTAAGGCAAGACCCTGCTTTGTCACTCCGTTCTGCCGCAGAGAAAACATTCATGTTCTAACTAAATAGAAAATCAACAGACTATGTAAGAAGGATAGGACCAGGAGGGAAACGGCATTGGCTGCGCTGAAACACAAATAATAAAATTATAACGATGGAAACAATTGTGCTAGAGAAAAGTTAAGAGCTAGGCCAGATACGAGCGACGTTAGTTGTAAGTCTTTAGGGGAACCGAGGTGGTTATTTGGAATGCCAAACATATACACAATTGACATTTTTTGCCTTAGTATCAGTAACTGAATTGTTGGCAACCTTCACGAAACGCATCCGTGATCATTAACTGATCATAACTCTGATTAATTGGCTTTCGCACAGGCTGGGGAAACCGGCGCTAAAAGTCACAGGCTGTCAACTATTCAACAGTCACCCTCCGGCGGTCAAACCGTTATATGGAGTAAAATTTGAAGTCGATTTCGCTCGGATCTCTTGTGAAACCGAAAGAAATTAAAGTGTACGACAATTTGATGCAATCTGAAAAGATGTCAAAGAATTTTTAAATGAGAAAGACTCGAATTCAAACCTTTTTCGACTTTTTTGTTGTGGCAGAAAGATGTAAGTTGTTTGGTTGTTTGCCGTGACTCATCCGGCTAAGCGTGCTGTTTTTAAAAGTTTCAAGTCCGACTACCTGTGTTCCGTGGTTCTTTTGGTAAAAATATGCATCGGTGAGAAAAATAAAGAAGTAAAAGATTATTAAAAACGCCCGGCAGTAAGGAATTCTGGAAAACTAGCGTGGGCGTTTAGGAAGTTACTTAGGCCATCAGCCGCAGAAAAAATTCAAACATGAGCAAACATTTGTTCGAAAAACAAGAGAACAGTTCAATATTTGAGCGGACAGGGCGTTTGTTTCTGAATCCAAGGTAGAAGTCACAAGTATTTGATATCTTCCATAGGTATATTGGAGCATGAAAAGCAGTTGAATGTTATGGCAATGAAAATTCCTTTTTTAATGCCGGGTTGCCTCAAACTTTGATATCCCAGCAACTGGGTACGTAGAATTTTTAAGCTTTTTATTCTAGCAGGCATAATTCTTTTACCAAGAAACATGCAAGTATGAGCTGATATCCTTTCTCAAAAAACATGTATAGACTTTTTAATATATATAGTTAATGGTTAACAACTTGGCGATAATTTCAAGGCTTGCCGTATTGGTAAGAAGGTCGGATTTAGTTTTACCTATATTAGTTAGTGACAAATGTTCATTTAAGAAGGTTTCGATGGGATTAACCTCCCGTAAAATAGCAGGCAAACATTTTAGTCGTCGGACAGAATTTAATGGAAATTTTTAATCGCTAGTCTCAGAAGAAGCTAATATTGTGCGGCTTTTTACGGCATGACATGTCTCTTGGTAGCCGTTGAATCCAATTTCAGCCATTTTTCCACTATCGATCCCGGAAAGATTCTTAGTCTAAACCAATGGATGTTTTTTAAAACAACTGATTTTTCTTCTTCTTCTTCTTCTTCTGTTAACCGAAACGGCAAGAAATTACCCGTTGAAAGGCCAAAATATTAACCGTTTACCGTGAATACTTCCACCCCTGTGAGTCCTTCATTTAACCCCTGTTGTCACTCAGTTAGTATTGAGGCAACAAATACCAGGTGCGCGATATTATTATGATTTTTTGGTAGAATTATGATTCGACTTCATGTGAAATTTGGAATAATTGGGCTCGAGTAAATTTCTTCAAAGACTAACAGAGTTGCATGATCGAACGTGTAGTGAAGAAAAAAGCGGGTGTGTTTATTTCGAGTATTCCATTTACGAGAGAAAAACTGCTCAGCATTATAACTATAAAGCCCTAAAAACAATGCAGGGAAACTTATCAAGATCCAAATGAAAGAGAAATAAAATGAAATATCGTTCTATTTCCTTTTAGAACTAAAATGATGTTTTTTTTTTCAGAAATGAAATACCTCTTCCTTCATAAAAATTATTTTACTAGCAAATAAGAATCTGAAAATGATTGTTCACGAATATTACATTATTTATATTAAAATTATTTATTTCTTCTCCTAAATAGGGCAATAAGAACTTCCTAACAATAATATTTTTATGGTGCGGATAAAATTGAACTAAAAACTGATTACTTGGCTCATTATCTCTAACTATTTCATTTTCTATGAAATCAACTATGCATTTTACCATTTCGTGCAGACATCGCGCTTCAGTTTAAAAGAAGCTGTTTTAATTTCAGGGCTACTCATTATCTTTCGTCGATTTCTTACGATACTGCTTCCTGTAAAACTGTAGTGAATTTGGAATGATTAGAGACCATTGTGATTAATTCATTTCTCATACTAAACTTTGCAAAGTTTACTACTGATTTCGCGGTTGGGTCCTTCAATATGTTTTGGGTGTTGTGCTTTCTAACACCCGTTATGTTTGACCAAAAACACTTGCTCCTTAAAAATGATATATGCATAAAACGCAGCGCTAAAAAATGGAATATGGCAACATAGCTATGAACTGATTTTTCAGTGTAAACTTAGTTCAGACGTTCTAGAATTTAATAGCGAGATAAAATTAAGTTATCTTCTTGTAAGATCTACCTTAGTTTCACATGTGAAACGTGTATGTCATGATAAAACGACCAACCATGCGTTTTCCAAACGACATTATTTTGAGATAAGCAGATGGCATCCCTGCAGGAAAGGAAGGCGCGAATGCAATTTATTCCTCCCTCGACGCTGATTATCTGGCAAAATCCCCGCCTTCATGGCTGGCACTATAAATTAATTTGAAAATTATAATTATCGACTCAGGATGTATACGTGCATAAGCAAATTTACTTTGTGTTGGTGGTTAACGATGTTTAGATGGGCGACAAAATTTCTATTCATTTTGCTTCCAGTCTACAGGATATCAACCATGCAATTTTAGCTGCCTTAACAATGCTCAATTAAAAATAATTGTGCTGCTTGAAGTTTATTAATTTGATGTTTTTGGCCATCAGCGTTTTAATTATAACATATAGCTTCTGAATATAAAATATCAACCCATTAGGTAGCAATTGAAACAATAATTTTGACAATTTAATTTTGATTTTGGGGTGTGGGTAACCACCGGCGAAGTCAGGGGTACCCAGGGTATTCTCCCCCGGAACATTTTGAAAGAAAGACCCTCGGAAATGCGATTTCCATAGTTTTGAGGTGAATTTGCGAAAAATTTTATAGCATTTTGCTTATTGTGTTAGTGAGAAAAGGCATGATAATAATGAAAATCTTTAATAAAGTAGCCAACGTCACAAAGTTATTGGCAGGTCGATCATCGCTTAAAAAAGGCTAACTGATTATACAAAAACAAATTGATACACACAACATATAATTCGTAATATAAACTTAATGTTTTACAACCGAAGAGCTGGATAAATTGCTAACACGAACTTATTTTCTTAGGGGGAAGCAGTGAAACTAGAGTTTTTGGTGACTTCGTTTACAAGCGAGTTAAAAAATTTGGGTCCTTGGAGAAATAAAATAATTATTTCTTAAAGTTTGTTCTATGATAGGGTAGACAGTATGACCTGGGAATTTTTACTATTTTAAGAGTGAGAGTTGATGATAGTTGAGGTCAAGTTTCTTTAATTTTCATACAAAAAAATACGTTCTTTGGAAAATTATAACAGAACTTTTGTTTGTTTTCTCTTTCCTTTCCTCAGATCGACATTATTACGGGTCATACCTAAGATGAGCAGTACAGCAGTTATTTCCTTTCTTGGTATTTTCTTGGTGTTTGGATCACTGAAGTGTAACGCTAACAAGACAGATCTTTATATTCTCCAGATGGTTGAATCACCCCTTTTTAACGGCATTATCCCCTGTGAAGGGATGACACTTGCTTACGAAGTTGCTAAGAACTCTTCTTCTTTCAAATCCTTCTTTGAAAAGTATGAAATTCAGATGAAATGCCCTGCGACTTGGGTAAGTTCGCAACTCGCCTTATGGGGGCGAGTTTCAAGAAAGGCCGACACCATTTTTACGACATATTAGTCAGAGAGTTACGGTGAACGTGAGTTTTTGTGATATCCAGAATAATCAAGGTCGAAGTAGGGGTTATTAGCCGAAGATCTTGATTATTCTGGATATCACAAAAACTGAATCTAATAATTGTTTTATTATTCATTGAACGAAAAAAAATGGTCAGGACAGTAAGTGGAACTGATAATTTATTTCTAAACGTGTAAAAATACCGTAGGTTCTCTCAGTTTTGTCTCTTTCATCTAATCAGCAAACAGCTCCTTTGCCACCTTCGTCGACTTTTTTGTGGTTTGTAAGTCCTTGTCTTCGACTATTTTTCGATGTCTTGCTCGGTCAACGAAGCAAACCTTGAAGTCAATGTTTTTGCCTCTTCACTGACGGCAAGCAACACAAAGCGCGCGAACTTGACGTGATTACCCTTATCATGCACCACGGTCATACATGACATGATTACCCGTGACCTTGAGTGTCCTCAGTTGACATGATTATGTCCCAGGCGCTGATTTCGAAAATTCACTGTACGCTTTCGGCCAATCAGAAAAGAGATAGTGAGTTGAATGTATAATAATTGGAATTATTTCAGCGTGATTTCCGTAAAGAAAAAGGCAAAAAAATTTGTATCAAAACTAGGTCCATTCTAGCCTCAAAGGCTAGAGTCAGGGGCACGCAACGAATTAATGTTCCCAAATTCGTGAGAATTGTCTCAAAAAGGTTTTCTCCATGTTTTAGAAGCCTGTTTGGTTAATTTGAAGCTGCCCTAAAAACTGTTTATCTCTTCGGATGTCTAAGCGGAACTTTGGTAGTCTTGAAAGTTTCGTCTCGCATTCGAAACTGTTAGCTACCCTGGTGGGTCCGATCAAAAATTCGAGGAAATGGATTAGCCCTATTTTCATTAGAAAATTGTAGAGTACATTTTGTATGAAAACCTTGCCTGCATCTGTAGCAACAGAAGACAGGAGGCAGTTTGACTACCTCATATTCTGAAGTAACAAAGCTGAGCCACTGATTTTGCAATTCAATTGAAGGGAAGACACGTTAGCTAGAGTTTTAAAAATATGAGCAAATAGCTTGACATATAGTCCCTGTAAGACCTTGAGTGTTGGCCCGGCTGGGAGTCGAACCCTGGCCTATCTCTATAAGCTTTGGTACCTAACCAATATTTCGCTCAGTAGTTATTAGTTAATTTTTTTATTGGCAGGTTGATTCATAGTATTGAAGTATTGTTTTATTATTTGCTACAGCAAAATCCCGGGCTCGCTGTTCTGAAAATGGCTGAAGCTTTTAAAGTTCGTGAAACCTATCCGCTGATAATCCTAGGGCCTCACACTTCTAAGGAAGCTACTGCAGTTTTACAGGTGGTGGACCTTTACAGAAAGCTTATGGTAAGTAACAGTCACAATAAAGAAATTCGTAGTATAATATACAAACAGTAGTTACATGGATTTTGATAACTCCTAGATTGTGTTCACAGTGCCCTATTTTTCCGTAAGATCGTCGAGATCGAGCGCTTGACTTTGCGTTTCTTGGATGAGTGTCAAATCTACTAAAGGGGCAGGGGACGATTTTTTTCTCGCCTCCCTTCCCCTACCGCTGTAAACCCCGACGCCTCTTCGGTACACGTGAAATCGAGATGGCCGCCCGTACCGGAAATCGCTCGATCCTGACGATGTTACTAAAAAAATAGGGGACTATGAACTGAAATCGCCTTGAGAGCCGTATGTTGACAAAAAGAATATTTCGAGAGACCCAAATACAATTTTATTTCCCGACCTAAACGAAAGCTGGTTGGGAATAACGATGATAATCATCATCATCCTCATCAAAGGGCCAATATAGTTACAGGCAGCCCAGGTATACTGTGTGCCAATAATTGATCGCGGAGCCTACATTCCTGTAGAAATTAGAAACCTATCGATGAGGGAAAATTTGTTATGAAGTCAGCGTACACCCGTCCAAAAGTCCCCTCGTCCGTCCTACAGACTGTGGGGGTAGGGCAGGAGAGACTCTGCAAGGGAAGGGACGGGGGAATCCAATACATGCAGCTACTGGACGTTCCACCTGCTTTTGTGCTATTTTGCCAAAACTGACTTATTTGATGAAGGACTGGGACTCCTTGAACTCACAGCTAGGAAATCTACTTACCTTCAATATCCCGTAAAGCCAAAATCTCCAAGTGCGGAAAAGTCAAAGAAAACGTTTGAGAATTGCTTAGTAGAATGGAGCGCGTGACCAAATGTTTAAGAGATTAGTATCAGATGAAGCGCTTTAACTGCGCCAAAATATCGTTACCTACTCGTCAAAATGAAAAACCGTGACAAGGTCAATTGCCAGTCAAGAATTTTGTAGTGTGCTGCGGTTTCTTTTTTAAAAAATTTGTGCCCTGAATACCGCTTGAATGAAGTTTATGCGTCTGTTGACATGCACTTTCTCTACCCTTGCCGAAAAAACTATCTAAATATGAAAGAGTTATTTTTTCTTCGACCGGCAGGCTCGGGGATCGTAACATTTCGAGATTATAAACTCTCTTCTCGAGGAAATAAAGCATTATCGTTTGTTTCACGATTCAAAACAATCTTCTCACTAAGGGTGGATTTTCACTGTCTCGTAACACGTTCGTACGCACGTATATTTTGCGCGCGTAAATAGAATAGAAGCAATGTATGAAGTAGCATGTACGTGTAAACGTAAAAGTTGAGCGAGTTTCAAAAACTTTAAGGTTTACGCACGATCTTTCATACCTTGCCTCTAATTTGTTAACGCACGTCGTTTGTACGTGCCTAAACACGTTAAATTTACGCCAAAGTGGAAATCCACCCTAAGAAGTCTAAAGGCTTAATTTCCAGTGTCGCGTAATTTTTACTTTCGCAAATAAAATAGAGGCAATACATGAAAAGTCGCTCGTAAACGCAAAACATGAACCTCGCTCAGCTTCTCGTTTAAGCTCGGTACTTTTTATCTTGCCTCTATTTTGTTTAGGTGATTAAAATTTACATGCGTCAACGTGCGTAGCCAAAAACGCGTCAGTGGAAATCAAACTTAAGAAAGTCAAACAGGTGATGAGGTCCACTGGTTACACGTCACGTTATATAAAAGTTAGAGACCGTAACCTGCAGCTTCTGACCTGACCACTCAATATTCTTGACATTCTTTTCTGTTGTTCTTGAGAAACATGGCTGTAGTTGTTAATACTCTGCTCCTTTTTGTGTCCTGATAACTGCATTATATGACTAGGAGGAATATCCTTTTCATTCATTAGTATATACACACTCAGTGATCTTGGTAATTCAAGCAATCTGATTGGTTAGCAATCTGGGACTATTTAACAATTATTCTTTGAAATCGAGGTGAATAGTGGCTAAATGTTCAACGAGATTGAAAAGAATAATTGTTTTAGTATATACACACGAAGTGATCTCAACAAAATCAGAGAGGAAACCATTAAAAAGTACGATTTGATTGACAGATCAAATCACTCGTAAGTTTAAAAATAGATCTTTGCAGAATTTCCAAACATGGCAATTCACAAGTTTATCATTTCGCAAACAACAGCGTAATGACTTAGATGGAACCGCTAAAAGTTTGAACTGTTTCCTTACTTGAGAAGAAAAGTAGAGCTTTGTTGTTTTCTGCTGACTCGCAAAGTTTATAGCCAAAAGGGTTTGTTGTGTCGTTCTTCGCATGAAGTGCTGACAAAAATGGCGGCTCGGTTGCTCGAGGTAAGACGTCGTCTTCCTGTATCATTCTTTTTCCTGTCTACTTGAAACGTAGAATTTCTACAAACATTTCCTTTTAAATTTGTTTGTCACAAATGAACTTCGATTTTTGAGCCAAAATTTTCATGTTAGAAAACGCTGAATTCACGAAACGGCTTCTTCTACGCGAATACACGGGAGTTGTAAACAATCCATTGAGCACAAAACTCAGCTACAGTAAATTGAAAAACGCCGCATTGAATCCTTCCAAGTCTTTTCTTGCCTTAAAAAAAGTCAGCCCTAGGATTTTGTCGTATTTTAAAAGATCGTTCTCTAAAAAAAAAATGAGAAAAACACCGAGCTCACACATTATCCACTCGCTAGGAGGTGAATATTGTTGAATAGTCCGAGATAGCGAACCAATAGGCCATTTGCACTAAGAGGTCATGTGACATCGTTTTTATAAAAATGAAAGCTATATGATTTTGCTTTGGGGAAAGAATTATTGGGTCATATCTTAAACAAAATAATAGTGATTTGATTTTTCAAACCCGCACCATTTTCTTAAAATGAGTAAGTTTCTAGCTAGTCACGCGACCAAAATGTGATTTTTAAAATTATGAATTACCTCTTTCTGAATGCAAATTTTGCACTTAAACTTCAAGGAAAATTTTGAAACGATGATGTGGTGACGTTTAGAGCACATCTGAGCGGAACTATCAAACATTTAACAAGATATAAGCATAAAGTAGTTTTGGCCGCCATGTTGGAGGGCAAGAGTATGCCCTCCAATATGGCGGCCAATACAAATCATACTACTTTGTTGAAAAATCAAAGTGCCATAAAATATCTCCCTTAAAGGTGTCTCCTCTCAAATTTCCGATGTAAGATAATTTCTATGTGCTCTGTTAATTTCTGGCATCAACGAGATTCCAACTCATTTTTTAAAGGAAGCATTGGTCACGTGACCTCTTAGTGCAAGTGGCCCATCAGATTGCTTAAATCACCAAGATCACT